AGTCAGTCAGTTACTAAAAAGTCACTAAAGTCACTTTTTTTTATGTTGAGAGTAAAGAATTGGTATTTCAAAAATCACATTATAACGCTTGACTTGGTAACACACTTGTTTTATATAGATTAACCGAAAATCTGACTAGAATAGTGTGACTGCGTGACATAACGTTAACAGCTCATTTGGTTTTGACAGAATCGCTAATATTCTAAGGGAGGTCCCTCAACCGCCAAAACCAAGAGAAGTGGGAATTCGAAGTCTCATATTATAAATACTAGGGGAAATGGATATAATGTCGGCCTAAATGCCCCTAATTTGGGCCCATACATAAATTCAGAAATCGGCAAAATTTTCATAAGCGACCAAAAATATCCATTTGTACCGTCCCAATGACGCGTTCATCTAGATAAAATTGATAAATAGTAGATTTTTAGCGATGGGCCCAATTTTTGATCCATAGGCCAGCATTAGAGCCATTTCCACTATTTACCGAATCCTGAACCTTGAATGCCTATGCCCGCAGCCTGAGCAAATTTTCGCGAAAACTCACTATGACTCGCGAACTTTTCCCTTGGTGAACTTCGTGAAATATCGCGAACTTTTCCAACACTGGTCTGAATCATCTATAAAGATAATTTCTACATTTCTAGCAAAGAACTCTTCATTTGATATTTTCGAGAATTTGTTAAACTCATCCCCAGATGTCTTCAGATTTTCTTTGCCTTGGTTATAAGGTTATTCTTCTCTCTGGTATTTAATTGAAACCTAAGAGCCTTCAAAATGATCTGTATACAACTTTTGCGATCCTGTATAGGAAATTCTTAGAATTCAATTTACATTTATCTTAGTATTCGTCATGTATCGTTCGAATATTGCTAATCATTTCCTTAGAGTTCATCTCAGTATAATTAAACTATTGCCTTGAAAATCTTAACAGAAATATTTATCGGTACAAAAATACGCACGTTCGATCTACGTGAAAACATAGGTGGCTTTCGTTCATACTACTTTTCACGTAACATTAACGTTAATGTTATGTAGCCAACAAATAATTCCATGTAGTGGAGAACGTGAACAGCAAGGTAAATATTAGGTGATTTCCACTTAAGTTTGAATAGATTTTTACGTAATTTTTACATGATTTTGAAATGATATTTACTAAAAAAAATATCTTTATCTTCCGTTTAAGTTCCACAATTTTTACTAATATTGTAATTAATTTACACGTAATGTTTATCTGATATTAATGTGACGTTTATGGGGTCAAAACAAAAATTCTAATATCTAAATATGTTCCATTTTGGCCTGGACATTTTAAGATTTTTTTCTTTCAATAATACGACAAGCATTTCTATATCCTCTATGCAGATTTCATTAAAAAAATTAACACTGAGCATTTCATTGCCTCCAAGATTTGATCAGGAACATTCAAATGCAATATCCAGATGAAATTGAAATAAATACAATTATTTGTGCGTAAAATAATTTGAAATAATAGACTTCTATTTTATGCAGAAAAGGGTAAGGGAATTTAAAACAGAGAGTAACTCTCTTTGGCGTGAAAATCTTGTTACTTTCATCATCAGCTTCAGTGAATATGTTTGTCAATTTAACGACTATCATTTGAAGCTTTCGATTGCTACATGATTTTTCACGTAGACTGGATGTGCATATTTTGTAGAGTGTACATGCTTATCACTTACTTTTTACGTGAAATTCCCGTAGTATCAACCGACCTGAAAATCATGTAAATTTTATCAACATTCTATTTGACATTGAGTACGATGTTTAAGAAGTTACGTGATTTTTCACGCGGTATCTACGTGATGATCTTTAAGAGTGTAGGAATTATTACAAGAACTTACCTTGAAATTTTACGACACGTTCTCAGAGCATCCTTCTAGAATTCCGTTTAAATTACGTAAAGATTCGATTAATTTCCATGCAATTCTCTTTTCAATTCCATTGAGAATAACGTACATATTAAATTTACTACTACATTCTTTAGGGTCAAAAGCTAAGCGAAATAATAAGCTATGATTCAAGTAATGGTTTTATCATCCGATAAAACTTGTGATCTTTCGTTTTTAATTTGATTTTTTTCCATTGCTTATGACCTCGAGATATCACAAATTTTCTGATCTTGGCTTTAACTTCGTCCTCGTGAAAGTTTTCCAAGCCTAAGATGATGAAAAATAGTCTAGTCTAATTTTTAAAGTTAAGTCCAGAACATCTACCAAAAGCAGTGAGCTTACACACTTAGAAAAATTGATGTAAATTTTGTTGTTCTTAGACTGACATATACGAGCGTCAATTCAGTCCTAATAGATGAGAAATTCAGCCCAATCAAACGTACTTCCGAATTTTTCAGTCTCGGATCACTTAATTTTACATTACATGTTTGTTTACGTCTCATCCTTTATGTCAAAGATGGATCCCGTCACGTGTAGGATTAGGTATTTCTAAGTGTGTACTCAATTTTGTGTAGAGTACGGTGATGTTCATCGTGCACTCAAAAAATATTGAAATCTAAATAGTATATAAGTTACGCTAAATCGCAACTCTCCATACCGACGCAAAGGTCGGTATAAAGGGAGAGAATGCAAACTTAGTATAAAAATGGTTTATGCGTGCCATAGTATAAAATCGAAATATACCTACAATGCATAGATACGGTTTATTCGAGATAATGTATTTTTCGCTTCTTTATTTTATTTATGGTTAATATTATTGTTTTCATATATAAATTTAAATTGTGAAGCTTTTTAAATTAGTTTATTTTTTATGAATATTATTCAAAAAATACTTACAATCTCGATGTTCATTAGGATGTATGCATGCTCACGCAGTCTAGCTGCCCAGCAGATCACAGGCGCAGAAGAAATCCGCCGGGACGAAGCTCTTCACCAACACGAAGCTCCGAAGGAAATCCAGATGTTCTTTTTCCTGTCATTTTAGTAAACACTGATCGAATTCCACTCCGTTATTCGGACTTAGTATAATTTTGACGAAAATTTTAATCGAACCAATTTTTAAATTTTGAAAAACCAGAAAATGCATAAATTTTAATTTATATTCGTTTTGTAATATTTTTGAGTGTGCAGCAGCGATAAAGTGCAAATGTTTTGCACATAGAGTAGAGCGCTACTTCGTCGTAATCGCCCATTTCCGTTCTATCGATCAGAAAAGATCAATAATATCAATGATTTCACCGTGCACAAATCAATAATAGGTTTGTTCCGATGTGGTAGTTCATTAGCTACCACATAAATCCTGTTAGAGCGCATTGTATGAATATTTACGCTTATTCGCACTGGGTTCGGACCAATTTTCGAAACAAATTTCCACAGCAGTGTTGTATCTTACAGCAGCTTGAAACTAAATTTATTGTTATTAGTTTTAGTTCATTTTTATAATTAAATTCACCTTACATTTATTGTTTCCTGATTTCACTTCTATCTTTGCAGGTTACGTTCACCGCAGTATAATCTTTCCACGGTCCAATCCGAATGTTTATTTAGCAAGACAAATATTTGCACCACGGATCAAACTATCCCTCGAACGACGAACTCAAAAACTGTTCCAAATATTTGATTAATTTAATTACACTGCTTACAATCGATTTGCTAGTCACTGTTTGTTTTTATTTATGTTACTCTCTCACACTCTCATTCGCTTTCTTTCCACCCGTTCCATCATTGACGTTTAGGCGCAACGTTCATTGCGCTCCACAGGTACGGCACGGCGCAAGGTATGTGACCAGTGCTCGGCGGTGCGCACATACCCCCTCCCCGTAATTCTGGTGAGGGTCCCTCCATGGAGCCAGATTTACTATCCTGGATTTCCAGCACCGCCAATTTCGTTACCGGGCGCCTGTACTCTCCTTTCGCCGTCTTCACCAACGCCTGCCTAATCCTTCCATCTGCTCCAGGGTAGACTTCCAACACCATGCCCCGTGTCCAGCTCTTCCGCGTTCCTTCGTCTGCGATGTAAACCAGCTCTCCACGACTAACTGGTTGTGCCTCCGAATGCCACTTCGATCGCTTGTTGATCGTGGGCAAATATTCCGACACCCATCTCTTCCACAGCTGATCTGCCAACGCTTGGGACCGTTTGAAGCTGTCCCGCAAAGCTTCTGCTTCATTTGTTTGGGGAACCACTTCCGCTTTACCAGTCGCCCCGATTCCCTTCACAAAATGGTTCGGCGTGAGGGCTTCTCCCGCATTCGGTGCGAGACCACAGTACATCAAGGGGCGAGAGTTGATCAGGTCTTCAGCCTCCGCCAACACAGTCAGCAACACCTCGTCCGTCAATCGTCGTCCGTCGTTGAGCACCTCCAACGCAGCTTTCACCGAGCGAACCAACCGCTCCCAAATACCGCCCATGTGAGGTGCACTTGGAGGATTGAAGTTCCAGCGGGTCCTGGAATCCGTCAACTCTTCCTCGCAGTCTCCTTCGATCTTCTGCATAATTTGCTTGCTGGCGCCCTGGAAGTTTGTGCCGTTATCCGAGAAAAACTCGATCGGCTTGCCTCTTCGGCAAACGAAACGTCGGATGGCCATCAGGCACGACTGAGTGGACAAGCTATGAGCGACTTCAAGATGGATTGCCCTCGTTGCTAGGCAAGTGAAGAGACAAATCCACCGCTTTTCCGATCGACGTCCAACGGTAACAGTGATTGGCCCACAGTAGTCAACGCCAGTGAAGCTGAAGGGCTGTAAACCTGGAGTAACTCGCGCCAATGGAAGTGGAGCCATTCTCGGGATTTTCGGAATACACTTTCTCACTCTGCACCACACGCACGCCTTTGCCACTGTTTTCAATTCCGTCCGGAGATTTGGAATCCGGAAACGCTGTCGGATTTCATTCACAGCAGTCTCCGAATTCGCATGAGCTGCTTGCTGATGATAGTACTCCAGCAATCTGGTCGTGATTTGATGCTTTCTTGGCAAGATGATGGGGAATCTGAGTTCAAATGGAAGAAATGAACCCTGAGCCGCTCTGCCCTAGATTCGTAGCACATCTTCCTCGTCCAAGAATGGGCTGAGGTCGTACAGACTGCTGTTTTTCTCCAACGGATGCCATTCGGTGTACGGAAGCTCTCGGTTTTTTAACAGGATCTTGATTTCTTCCCCATAAAACTCCAACTGCGCAGAACGCCACAGGTAGGCTTCAGCACGTTGAAACTCCTCTCGCTTCAGTGGAACCACCACCGCTTGTACAGACCGCTTCACCAATCGTTGCACCCTTGCTGGTGCCGACACCGTTTCAATCGCCAAGCCTTCCCGTTTTCTGATGCAATTGGACGTGAACCGGTACATGCACGCTACCGTTCTGACCAAAACTTTCCAACGCGAGAAACGCGTCGCATCTACCACGGACTCCGCTATCGAGACATCATGAATCAGATGACATGCTCGGACTTCTTCTGTGGTATTCGGCTCCACGCTGTCTTGCTGCGCCCATTCTTCTTCCGGCTGATACAGGAATCGCGGACCTTGGAACCATGGACCATTCGAATCCAAACTGCTTCCCTTCTTCCACTTCGTTAGATCATCGGCAATATTGCTCTTCGTAGAGATCCACCGCCACTCACTGTGTTTCGTGAGACTCAGAATTTCACCAATTCGAAAGGCTACGAATGGTTTGTATCGGCGCTGCTCCGACTGAATCCACGATATCACCGTCCTTGAATCGGACCAGATGAACCTTTTCTTCACATCCAACGAATGAGCCTCGATCACGGAATTCATTAGCCTGGATCCTACGACTGCTGCCTGCAGCTCGAGACGTGGAATTGACAGCATCTTCAACGGTGCGACCTTCGACCTCGCCATCACCAGGGAACACAACGGCCCTTCGTCGGTCAAAGCACGAAAATACGCAGCCGCACCGTACGCGTCTTGACTGGCATCGACAAGAACGTGGAGTTGGAGGGAGTTATAATCGACGGAACTGAATCTTCGGAAGTAGTAGCGTGGGATCTTCACGTTCTCAACCTCTGGAAGTCGACTGATCCACCGATTCCACTTATCGCAGCAATCGTCGTCGATCGGTTGATCCCAATCGCTGCCACTACGCCACAAATCCTGGATTAGCATTTTTCCGTGAGTGGTGAACGTTGCTAGCATTCCAAGTGGATCAAACAAGCTCATGACGCAGCTCATGATTACTCGTTTGGTGGGTCTTCGTTCTCCCGATATGTACGGCATCAACTCGTCCCGTAGCTTTGCTAAAAACGTGAACTCGTCGCCATTCGGACACCAAGCTATGCCCAAGACTCGCTCTAGGCTCGTTCCCTTATCTTCCGTGAACTGCACACATTTTGCAGCCTTTGGTTCCCCCATGCTCTGGAGAACTTCGTTGGAGCTGGCCACCCAGTTCCGGATTTCGAAACCGGCTTTCGAGTGTACGTACCTCACATCCTGCGCTCGTTTAACTGCCTGCTCTACTGTGTCCGTGCTGTCGAAGTAATCGTCAACATAATGGTTCTCCACGATCGCCTTTGCCGCTTCCGGAAACTGCACTGCATACTCTCTCGCGTTGAGGTTCTTAACGAATTGGGCGGAGCATGGCGAGCTCGTCGCACCAAACATCGTCACGTCTATGATGTAGACCTCGAATTCCTCCACTGAACTTCCTCGGAAGACGAATCGTGACCGCTTATCGGCTTTACGGACCATCATTTGAAGATACATCTCCCTGATGTCACCTCCAAAACCCACTTCTCGCTCACGGAACTTCGATAATACGCTTGGGAGTGGAGTCAGCATGTCCGGACCTTTCAAAAGCTTCGAGTTCAGCGACACCCCATTTACTGCGGCCGCAGCGTCCCACACTAAACGGACTTTCCCTGGCTTCTTCGGATGTATTACAACACTCAGTGGCAAATACCACACCTCATCCGGTTGGAACTCAGCTAGCTCAGACTTTGAAGCTACATGGATGTACCCCTTCTTAGTATAATCGGATATTAGCCCCCTTACCTTGTCGTACAGGCTACGATCTTTTACCAAACGTCTCTCTAGACAACGGAACCGTTTGACCGCCATCGGGTAGCTGTCAGGGAATCGTGGGTCGTCCTCTCTCCACAAAAGTCCTGTCTCGAAACGGTTCCCAATTCTGATGGTCGTGCTGTGCAGGATCTCTTTCGCTCTCTTGTCTTCACTGGATTCGGGAAGCAGCGCTACGGAAATCATAGATTCTTCCAGGGCGTAATGACTCCGTAACAGGTCGTGCAAATCCTCGTTGGATACGATGTCACAGCTGTGATGTCCAACTATTCTCGTTTCTGAGTGGCTTGAATGGGTAGGTCCGTAGATCGTCCATCCCAGCTTCGACTTGACGGCGATCGGTTCATCCGGTCGACCGATTCTGGATTCGATGGGCGCGTATAGATGGATGTCCTTCAGGCCGATGATGATTTGAGGAACTCCTCTGCGTAGATCGGACACAGGTAAACCTCGAAGGTGGGGATGTTCGTTGACCACCTCTGACATAGCTACGGTTTGTTGCGGTAGCTTCAGACTCTCGACCGTGTGGGCAGCCGTGATACGAAAACGTTGTGACGATCCTCGTGCGGAAATAAAGAGCTCCACCCTTCTCGAATCCTTCTCCAATCGGGTCACTCCTGCTGTCCACGTCACTCGGAGTGGTTGCACGACCCCCTTTGCTCGCAATAAGTTTGCCAGTGACTTCTCGACCAACGTATACGAAGAACCTTCGTCCAGGAAAGCTATGGTGTCCACGGCAGAGCTTCCGTTGTAGAGTGTTACCGGAATCATCCGGAATATCACCGATGGTTTGCGCTGGATGTTATGCAGGTAACAGTTAGAATTGGCGGCTGGCGACTGGTCGAAATGCAGCAGAGGATTGTGTGGCTCCCTACACTGACCCACGTTGCATCGAAAATTGAGTTTGCAACGTGCATTTCCATGCTCGTTCAGGCACAGATAGCATAGCTGCCACTTACGAACTGCCTCCCATCTTTCCGTTATCCGAAGTCTTCTAAACGTCTCACAGTTCCGGATCCGATGATCAAGACGACCGCATATCCTGCAGGGTTTCTTCTCTCTCTGCTGCGAACTCGATGACTGGCTTCTTTCGCTGTTTACATCAGCACCGTGCGTGTGCAGAAATCCCTCGTTCTCCTTTCTGCCTTTTTCCTTCCGGAATCCTCGACAAGCTTCCGAAATAGTCGTATCGCAGTACGGGACAATCTCACTTGCGTCTTTGACGATACCCGAGAGAAAATCAGCCAACGTTCGGAGCGTAACTACTCGATGTCTGGCAGCCTTCCTGCGATAGCGAACCCACTCCAACTGGGTATTGGCGGGCAGCTTTTCCGTCAATTCCTGCATCAGCATTGGATTCATCAGGTGCGTGGTGAGATCGGTGGCTTCTAAATGATCCGCCAGTTGCTGCACGACAACGCCAAACTGGATGAACGTAGCCAGCTTATCTGCTTTCGGGGGAGGTGCCTTTCTAACTTTCGACAGCAGCATGTTTAAAAGTTGCTCCGGTCTACCATAAAGCATTTTTAGGGTTTCGATGATCTGCGGTACTGCTTTAGGGAGAAGCAACCTACTGCGCACTGACTCTAGTGCTTGGCCTTTCAAGCACTCCTGAAGTCGAGCCAAGTTCTCTACGTCGGAAAATCCACAAGCTTCATTTGATGTTTCATATGCGTTTATGAACATCGGCCACTCTTCCAACATTCCGGAGAATACTGGCAGCTTCTTCCCCAGGAATTGTCGAGCCGACAGTTGGCTCTTTGATGGTTGACGATGCAGATTCTTCTGACGCTTCTTGATTACAACCTCTTCTTCCGACGAACTTTCTTCCTCCTCTTCCGACGAACTTTCTTCCTCTGCTTCTGATTCTTCCGAATCCCTTTCGTCTTCTTCTGATCCGGACTTCTCCGAATCGATTTCCTCCTCTTCATCACTAGCGCTGGAACTATCTTCTTCTTCGCTGCTTTCCTTGACTTCGATTGACTGCTTCTTGCTCTTCTTTTTCTTCGTAAGCAAATCTGGATGCCCAAGTGGGGTTTTCTTCTTGTGGGAACTGGAAAGCAAACCAGGTACACCACTGGCCGTTTTGGGAGTAGAATATTTACGGTACGCTCCTCGAGGATCTCCTTTGCTTGCATCCTTTGGATCAGCTTTCTCCAGGCGATGTTTATCCGACTTTTCCTTCTCGGACTTTCCTCTTCCTGGCTTTTTCTTCTCCATTGTAGCTTGCTTCGACTTTTCCTTCTTCGTTTTCTTCTTCATCCCATCTTCGTCCTTCGATGCGAGTCCTCCTTCGTCTTGTCCGCTTCTTTTTCCTGCATCCATCTTAACAGCCGGATCGATCTTCAACAGCTTTAATTTGTTCTGCACCTTCTTCAGCACTTGATCGCGTTTCTTCCGGTGAGCTTCTTCTTCCGCTAACTCCTGTTCCAATTGCTCCTTTTCGAATGCTAACTCCATATCCCGTTTCTCTTTTTCTACTTGCTGGCGCAACAAAAACATCTTGCGCTGGTGTTCGAGTCGCTTTTTTCCCAGGATCTTTTCGATCTCCAAAGCCTGCCTTTGCTCCTCCATCTCCTTTTCGAGTTTAGCCAACTCCTCTTCCAGCGCAGGTGGACCCGATTTATCCGCAGCTACTCCAATACACCCTTTACAGCACCAGGAGACATCCTTCACTTCGTCAGTCACGCCCGCACACCCGAAATGGTACCATCTTTGGCAGTGGTCGCAAAACACCATTTCGTCCTCGGCACTATCCGGTAGTCGGCATCCCGCGCAACTGTAACCCGTCTTATCAAGATCTGGTATCGGTCCCGGCATAATAAATTTTCAAGAATATTCGCACTGGGTTCGGACCAATTTTCGAAACAAATTTCCACAGCAGTGTTGTATCTTACAGCAGCTTGAAACTAAATTTATTGTTATTAGTTTTAGTTCATTTTTATAATTAAATTCACCTTACATTTATTGTTTCCTGATTTCACTTCTATCTTTGCAGGTTACGTTCACCGCAGTATAATCTTTCCACGGTCCAATCCGAATGTTTATTTAGCAAGACAAATATTTGCACCACGGATCAAACTATCCCTCGAACGACGAACTCAAAAACTGTTCCAAATATTTGATTAATTTAATTACACTGCTTACAATCGATTTGCTAGTCACTGTTTGTTTTTATTTATGTTACTCTCTCACACTCTCATTCGCTTTCTTTCCACCCGTTCCATCATTGACGTTTAGGCGCAACGTTCATTGCGCTCCACAGGTACGGCACGGCGCAAGGTATGTGACCAGTGCTCGGCGGTGCGCACAACGCTCATTGTTCTCAAAACAAAAGTACCGCTCCTAGCGAATCCGCTTTGTCTACGTTTATCCGTAGGACGAATACAATCTATTGGCGTTTCAATGCGTTTAAACTGAATTGAAACTCGTAGGACGGATTTAGAATCAAGAAGCAGTATTAGATTTTAAACAATATCTCAACAATTTGTGACTCTTTATCAAATTCAACGGTACGTATGGAAAGGTGAATAAATGTAGAAGTCACCTCAGAAAGAAATATTCCATTTTTTGTACAAACCCGTTCAAAAAAAGGTAAAACGCGGGTTGTGCTTAGTAGGACGGAAACTGTATCAAAAACCCTACCATATCAACTAGATATTATTATTTAAAACAACGTATTTTTTTTTAAAACTTCAAGAGGCGGGCGCAAACGGCGCTGGAGGTGTAGTGGTAAGCGTGATAACCTCTCACCCCAGCAGGCCTGGGTTCAATCCCAGTCGGCGCCGCCGGGATGTTCTGAGGCATAACATCTCTGGTCACGCCTTCCTTCGGATGGGAAGTAAAGCCGTTGGTCCCCGGTTCATGAGTTGATGGGTCGATAGGTAGGGTCCAGGTGTGGGAGCTGCCTTCCTGGCACGTCGGTAGCATTGGTGCTCAGCACGGAAAACAAAATCGACGGAAAAAACAAACCAAAGAAAAAAAAAAAAGAGGCGGGCACATCATTATTCAAGGGAGATTTATATTTAATTAAAAAATGTAATCAGATTGATGCTGCACGTCTAAGGAATCGGCGTGACGTCTAAGTGTTTTGACATGAAAATACAGTGAAACAATCGTTTATATTTTGGTTGCCGAAATCAATCGCACCCCAAGCCGATATTCACCCTACTAAAAGTTGAACAAATCGTATTAAAGTATTCATTTAAAAACTAACTTTGTAACTGAGAAACATGAAAATAACGAATCAACAGTGCATAAAAAAGACAATTTTTCGGAGCTGATTAATATTGGCACATCGATTTCTGGCACAAACTTGCCTGGTTTACACCAATTATGGTTAATCAGTATTATGAAGCAGCACAAGGGTAAACCGGGCATAACGGCCGCTATTCAGCAGTCTCATTATTGCACGAAGTACATGAGGTTGAAAACATGCGAACAAAATATTTAATTCTAATCGATCATTGCCTATTTTAGTTTTTTTTTTCGATAAGTTCTGAGATGTTTTCATTAGGCTAGTTCATCTCACTACATAGGTCCACCTACATTAGATCCGTTTGCGTTGCATTGAAATAAATTTGACAGTTAGACAATTGATCAGTTCACGAAGATTTGCCGCACTCTTCTCTCACCCGTAAGTTTTGACAGTTTTGGGTGGTTTGTTTTGGCTCCCATTCGTTGCTATCTCTTTTACTCAGAAGCAAAATGATAGGGAGCAAAAAGTGAGGTTAGGGACCGTGCACTGATCTATAGCTTTAGCTGTCACTTTTCCGAAAAGCTTCAGATCCGGATCTAATGTGGGTGACCCTTATCAGTTCAGTAAACTAAGAAAAAAAAATTGAAAATAAAAACTTTTGCATTAGTGCATTTTATCCCAACTGCTGGAATTTTATTCAAATAAATTACTTCTCAATCAAAGTCAGCCATTAACCACCAAAACCTATAAACTGACAAATGTCTGCAAAAGTTTTGAAAACAGTGCGACAATCCCATGAAGAACTTAGTATGCAATTGACGTGGACAAATAAAGAAAACTGCGACCTGATGCTAGCAACAAAAAACGAAAAGAGCAATTATTTGCTTCGACACTTTTCCAAGCAGCTGCAGTTTATTTCAAGCTTATATTTAATTATTGTTTTTCTCGATGTTCAGTTCAAGTTGCTTTCCTATAGGTATACATATTTATTGCAAAGTTTATTAAAAGTTGCCTTGTGTTTATCTTTAACGCTTGCGAAATAGCCGCTGTTTTCGTCTTGGATATACAATTTTTACTTGAACATTAAGCAAAATGGTAAATAAGTACACATCTGGGAGTCAGGGTATACTTCTCTCGGCAGCTTTAAAACTGTGAAGGGATGTTGGATTACACAATACTTACAGTACATTTTAATCTACTTGGTTTATTATGTTTCTGCTTAAACGACTGTTTTAAATTTAGCGTGCCTTGAGAGCATCCGCAATCATGTTAACGTTAATGTTCGCAACCTAATTTCATATACTTAATGAGTTATTCCCAATTTGTATCCGAATCTGTATCAGTTTATAAGATGCGTAAAGCTTTGGTTTGAATTTTGTTCCATATTTTGTTGATGCACCGTCATGTAAAATGTCATGTAAAATCATAAAAATCATAAAAATGCCTCGATGCACCTCCTAGGACATGACCCAATTAATAGGTTCAAGTTTACTCGTACAGCTTTTGTTACAGGTAGAATCTGGATGCAGAATTTATATTATATTAGCTTCCTTCGGGTTTATTACATCCCCACTGGGACTTGAATTAGTGTTATGGATGTACTTTCAAATTTGTTAATGTAGGGCTTTCAAAGCCTGTACCATTTATGCATTAGTATATAAGTGAGACCGAGACTCTGTCACATAATATAAAAAAAAATTAAAGGGTTGTGTCCTAGACACGACCGCAGTATGTCGTAGAACTACGCAAAATTGATGTATGTCATGCATTTTTGATTATTATACTTTATCTTAAATTTTTAAAGTATTCCAATGTTTCGGTTATGGTTCAAAACTCGCGACAATTCATGTTAGCATAATCAGACCACGGTTCATCTTACGCACGAGATAATGTATTTAAATTTAATGTAATGGTTAAGAATTGACAGAATTCCCCTACATAACTACCTTGGGTTGATCAATGTTGAGTTAATTTGCTGTGGTAAATGTACATTAAATTTGACATCGACATCGACTACAATAGGAACTGACACTATTTCGTCGCACATTTTTTGTTGATTTGCACCTCAGTATAGTACACAAAAACGCCATGCTTGTTGTGGGATAAAACAATTGCCAAACAATACATTTTTTTTTCAGTAGCTCCATCATTAGTTTTAAGTTAGGTTTCTGAAGCAGAGAAGAAAGTGAAGATTGAATTTTATGATAACGCAACAGGCAGTTGTTTTACCTGTCAGAAGACGGTACTTTAAATATTGAACAAAATGTTGGTTCATATGTCAACGAAGTAGGGGAGGAAGGGGTAAAACGATCATACGGTCCAATTTGGAGGACAACCCTAACATAAAATTACCATGCATCATCATTATGTACTTTACAACGTGTTCGTAGAATGATTGCAAAGTAGAATACTGTGACTTTTCTCAAATTAAACGTTTGGTTTCCAATAAGTAGGTGCTTAGTACAACATTAATTGAAAATTAGGGGATTCAGCTATTGAATGTCAAAGTCAGAGCAAAAGCTTGTATACAGGTTCTCCACCTGTTTAATGTTTTGATTGTAAACATCATAGTTAAATCAACACCGGGGCAAGTTGAAACAGTACGTATATCTCTTTGCAAGTGAATATTCACTGTAATTATTTTTTAGAGGCATTGTGTACTACCGCAAACTATATTAGAAATAATCTCAGTGATTATTCACTTCCGCTAAGAGCTACATCTACCGTTTCAACTTCCCCACGCGTTTCTACTAACCCCGGTGTAGGGTAATGGATTTTGGTTGGACCTAATAATACTAAAAAATGAACAATGTTCTCAAAATAGGATTTTATTGAAACGCGGGCTCGTAATCACACAAGCATTCCTGAGTAATTGCGCTAATTGGGTTCTTTAATTTAAAAAAAGTGTGTCGATTTTTATACATCATCTGAAAGAATTTCGTTTTTTGAGCACAACGATATTTTTTTTCGAAACCGTAGACTTTCATCTCGACTTTCAAATCAAAGTTTAAAGCAAAATAATAACGTCGCTTCTTGATACTAAACTAATAAATTGACAGCTCGCTCCCATACAAAGTCCCACTGAGGGGCACTTAGATGATGATATTTGCTAATGAAATCGCACTTATTTAAAATAGTTCCAGTGCTCCAATTTTGATCAAATTTCGGATTTCGGTTCCATTGCCCGTATGAATAAAAAGAGTTTACTTTACTTTCCCGTGCTTTTCTTACGGGAAAAGTAAAGTAAACGCTTTTATTCATACGACCTCATGTTAAATGTAGATTACGAATATGCTTTTACCTCAAAACTCGTAAAGAATCCAATTGGAAACAGTAGATAGAGCTTCTTTCTCTATGATGCACGGTATATGCATTTGGGTTAACATCCGACGCCCATTCTTCTTTACATATTCTGCACAAAAAATACTTTCTAAGCCCCGCCCCTGACAGGATTTCCCACCGTTTTTTTATGAATGGGGCAGGGCAGAAATTATCTTTTGTGCAGAATATGTAAAAAAGGATGGACTTTGGATGTTTATCTAATTGCATATATAGAGGTACCAAATATGTTTTACAGTCAGTTGGTGGTAAATCACGCAGTAGATGGGTAAAAAAATTAACG